AAAATATTATTTGTCAATGTTTAATAAAAATGCATATTGCAAAAAATTAATAATCTACTGTTGTACAATACAGTCATGCCAAGAATTAAATCCACAGTGCACTTTAAACTTTCGCAAACAATACACTAAATAGACTGTCTAATCAACAATCAAAGCCATCAACAGACCAATAAAACGCGTTTTACATACTGAATAGACTTAAACATGCAAAACCACAAGATGTGGTGGAGTCATATGCCAGTTTTGTGGTTCGCAATGCTCATTATCAGATTCTCCATCCTAGACACACACGTAAATCTTTTACCTGTGAAGATGAAAAAAACTCCCATTGTACCTTAATTATTATATGTTAATCCAGGGAATAGTGGTAAAGTAAAGTAAAGTATTCTACCATGCAAAAATCTGTTGCTGTGTCATTTGTGCTGTGTTGGTCCCAGTTCTCCACTTCAGTCTCAGATTCATCATCCTTATATGTATATAATCCATATAATCATATAACCATGAAAAGCTATAGTTAAAATATACTATGGTAAAACATGAGAACATTTAACTAGCAATGTCCTACCATGGTATGATGTGGTGATGTGTTACAGTTGTATGGATAACTGATCTCCTCTACTCTGTCAGATCTGTCATCCATCTGTTAGCATTCAGAACAACAATAATTCAAAGAGAGCTCATGTTATGTTTAAACATAGGAAGGGCAGTCAAATTAGTTTACTACCATGGTATGATGTGGCGATGTTTTAGAGTTGCATGGGTAACTGGTCTCCTCTTCAGAATTGTCATCCTTATCATCAGAAATACAAAAACTAGTCAATGCACAGGTAAATCTTTTGTTAATATTTATATATATATAAAAGATTAGTCACTAAGGTCATACTAATAGATGACAATCAGAATGAAAGTAATGCAGCATCATATAATGATGCATCATAAATATGTGAATGACTTACTTGACACACTGGATGTTGCAGCCATGTTTTATAGTTTGTTCTCCTAAAATGTTAAGGCAACATTGACAGCATCAAACAGATCCATGCCTCACGTCCACAATATATAAACAATAAGTTAATATATATAGAATATCTTCTTACCTTCTTATACTTTTAACATGACCATCCCATCTTCTCTTAGTAACTGTTGGAACTTCTGTCTCTTTTTGTAGGTACAACTTGTACTCCATTTTCTAATGTCACTGACTGCAAGTACTAAATAAAATTTTTATGTAGCTTTTTTTTCCAAATTTAATGTTTTTCTTTAAAGTGAATCAATATATTTTATCGACATATTAGGCAAATAAAAAAATAATCCCCCTCAAAAAAACGAATAATAATACATAACATGACTACATGGTAAAAATAACTATCTTTAACTAAGCTGTTTAATTTTAGGTTATTATTAGAGCAGTTATGAAAATTATACTTACAGGAAAACTGGTCCGTTTCATTGTGGCGAGCGCTGCGTGTAAAGTAACCGTTATTTTGTGCACGCGCAGTATAGCGTCACGCGAGTGGCGCAATTAAATTATCTATCTATCTATCTATCTATCTGTCGATCTGTCTGTCAGTCCGTCCGTCCGTCTATCTAAACTGCCTGCTTTTCTCTGCCCAGTTTTCTATCGTTAATATCTATCAAAACATTGTTTCTTTTCAGTTATACAAGATGTGGGCTTTAATTGAATGGACAGAGAATGACGCTTCGCTAGACATTGTAAAGAAAAAGGACATACTTCAAAAAGTAATTAATGAGGGAGATGTCGTTGATGTAATGAAAGCTCTCCAGCAATTATTTTGAAGCTGAGTGGTAAACAGATAATATTTCAGAATGTAAATACTTTATATATCAATGAGTGCATTATATTGTTGAGGCAAAGGAAATTCTCTTTTTTGTTGTTGTTGTTTAGAAAATAAAGACAGGCTGCTGAAACGTCTTCATCAGGTAGAGTCAGAGAGAAAGAAAAAAGATGAGGGCAAACTTCCTGACAAAAGACCAATAAAAAGGAAGGACATAATTCTAATTAGAGATATCTCAAATTACAATTCTACTAGTGATAATTAAATTAGAGATATCTCTAACTGAATTAACACTAGTCAGAATTATAATTCAAGATATCTCTAACTGGTGTTTGAGTAGTCATAATTATATTGCAGATATCTTCAATTCATGATTTCTTAAAGATATCCAAAATACATTTGTAGATATCTGCAAGTTATTTATTACTAGTCAAATTACAGTTGTAGATATCTTGAATTGGATTTTTGACTAGGCAAAACTTAATAAGAGACCCCCGTATCACTTGTTCCACTTCCCCTGCCATTATTTTAGGGGGGCGGCTCGCACCCCCAACGGCACCCCCCGCCCCCCTTGAAGGTCAAGTTAATTTTATTTAATTATATTTTCTCTATAGCGCCAGATCACAACAGAAGTCATTTAAAGTTACCTTTCCTATAGAACAGGTCTATACCTTGTTCTTTTATTAAACAAACTAAATAGCCTTATGTTATTTATCTTATTTACATGACGACATGTCATTTCTGTCTCTACGTTACATGCTCGCGCTCTCTGTATTGCGCACAGCGGAGTTCCGCCCCGATGCGCACGCACGCACACACACACACGCACACACAAGTGAGCACACTTCCACTCCCTCTAGTATTTGTAAATATTAAGCCGCAAAACGACTATTTAAATATGAATTCTGAGTGTCTCTGTGTTAATGAATGGCGCAGACGCGCGGTTTTGTTTACTACTTGTACTGATACGCGCATGAGGCTGTGATATTAATGTCTGCTGTCTCACTAAATGAGGACATACATGAACAACACCTCCAAAACTGCTCTGAGAGTCACTTCATGAGCATTTGACCGTTTCATTTGAGTAAAACTATCCTCATATCATATACATACAGAAATGTAAAGGTATTCACGGCAACCCGTCAATATAAAAGAATGCTGTTCTTGTGGAGTTTCCACACACAAGTACATCTGATGTGCGAGCGGCCATCAGGCGTAAGTGTAACAAAGAGTAATTCTTTATAGAATTGCAATATTCTTTGGACATGTATAATTTAAAATTGTTTTGCATTGTGTTGTATTGTTTTTCTTTTGTTTTATTGTATATACAAATTCAACAAAAAAATTGAATTTTGTGTGTTGTTGCTGTTACAAAAAGTTTGTTTCTTTCTGTTTTCTTTTTTCTTTTTATATATATACTGTACATATAGCCATTTATTATTATTAGTAGTAGTAGTAGTACTCAGATTGTCATAATAGAATCAAATTCATTTTTTGCATTAACAAACAAGTTATTTTTTTGTCAATCTCTAATTCACAATAAGAACCAAGAGATTTACAAATTGATGAGTCCCTTGGATAGAAATTCTCACGGTGGATGGAAAAATAAAGCACGTAACCCCTTATAATCTGTTATGTAAAGTGTACAGTCATGGTCAGAATTGTTGGTATGATAAATATGAAAAGAAAAAAAAACTGAAAAGAAAAATATAAATCTGCATCGTTAATCCTCTTGATCTTTTATTTTAAAGATTTTTTAAAAATCGAACCTTTCATTGAACCATGAGAATTTAAAATGGGGGAAAATCTCATTATAAAATAAATGTTTTTCTCATAATACATGTTGGTGCTACTCCTCTTCAGTTCACCCTACTCATTTTCTATAGGATTCAGTCTGAAATGACCATGGTAGAAGCTTCATTTTCTGCTCAGTGACCCATTTTTGTTTTGATTTTGATATTTGTTTTTGGATCCAGCCAAGATCCAGCCATGGCCCATAATAAGATTTCAGCAGGGACAGTCAGGTTTTGATTTTTTATCTGTTGGTATTGGATAGAATCCATGATGGCATATCTGAACCAGATAAAAAATAGGCCCACAACAATAAGATCCAGCAATATATTTAACCATAGACATACTTTTTCATCCCTGTGTACACCAAGCCCATACTGAGTGTTTGTTGCTAAAAAGTTCATTTTGTAGTTTCATCTGACCATAGATTTTTTTTAGGCTTTCTGACCTCTAGACTAACTATTTTCTGCAGTTCTCCAGCTGTGATCCTTGGAAAGTCTTTGGCCTCTCAAACTATCCTTCTCGCCTTGCTTTATAACAATAGAGACACATGTCCTCTTGCAGGCAGATTTGTAATTTTCTGTTGATTGGAACTTCTTAATTATGCCCTGATGGTGGAAATTTCAATGCTTTAGCTATTTTTTTACACCCACTTTCTAATTTGTGAAGCTCAACAATCTTTTGCTGCACATATCACATCATGATTAAGGGAATTTAGCCTTTGTGTTGCCTTATATTTATACTTCTGTGAAAGGAATGGCTAGAAAAAATTATGTTCCTAGTCACCCTGGTGTGCTAAAAATGTAAATATGAATGGGAATATACTTTAGAGATATTTTGCTCATAAGAATTTCTAAAGGTACCAACAACTGTGTCCATTATTACAGATAAATATTTATTTCATAATGTGATTTTCCCCCACTTTCATTTTTTTGTTAGATTTTTTTCCATTTTTGAATGAAAGATCAAATGGATAAACAAATGCAGATTTATTTTCACAGCCTTCTTTTATCATATTTACCAAGGGTACCCAACAACTCTTACCACGACTGTATGTACTATGTAGCTTATTACGTTCATGCTTCAGCACAGTAGGTGGCGGTAATGCTATTTTGTTAGCAAGGCAGCCATACAATAGAATAAAGAAGAAGGCGATTTATCCTCATCCGCTGGTTTATCAGACGTGTGCTTGCTAAAAATGGCCGCAGAGCAGCAGAATGAAGTGAAAATACCGCAAATGGAGGAAAATAAGAAGAACAGCATCGATGGGAGTTTAGGCCTGGAGAGTATCCTCACTGTTAAATCGCTAGTTATTAGCTAACGTTAGTACTGGGAAGCAGCATTAATTCAGCAGTTTAGTGGAGAGTGGTACAAGTGATACGGGGGTCTTACGGGATACGTGTCACACAAGTACTGACTAGTTAATTGGAATCTTCTGTATAATCAAGACTTTCAGTAGGGTTTTCATATATATTGGAGTGTTGGTTGAAGTAGTGGATAATGTCTCACTTAATGTGTAGTTCTTGCAGTATACACTTTTGGCAGTACTTTTAGATCCCAGCATGCTGCAGTTGAATTGAAATGTCCTGGGTTTATTGTCCTTAGCACTGACTTCAGTCCTGCAGATCATTAAGGACTCTCAGCAGCAGCATGGACTCAGACATGGGGATTACCAGCGCTACAGGTAAGGCACAGGCGAGGTTGAACAGACCTTTTTTTCCAGTGAAATGATGACAGAATTTTCCTGAAATTGTTGATCCTCTCTTGACATCACAGGGGTTATTGCTCCAGACGATTGCGTCGATTGAGAAAGACTCTGGGCTTTAAAATGGGCAACAGACACAAGTTTACTGGGAAGAAAGTGACTGTGGAGTTGCTTTCAGACAACAGGTAATATTTAGCACTGAAAATATGTTCAGTAAACAAGATTCATATTGTTTTTGGTTTGAGCAACCCACCCCCCACCC